AACAGAGTGAGACTCTGTCTCAAAAATTAAAAATAAACATAAATTACTTCAGTCTTCAACATCCGAGCTAATGAGCCACTGACAAAAGAACCCTAGATTTAATCAGCATTGGCCAGGGAGGGACAGTCGATTCAGATGCATACACAGCCTGACTCCACTTCTCTCCTACAGACCTACTGGGTCTGATGATGCACAGCTTCTAACATGAAGGCCCAGCAAAGCGCTGCTGGGAAACAGCCTGTTGAGTAGTAATTAGGATTAGAGAGACTCCAAGGAAGAAAAAACAAATTCTAACCGACAGTCATCTCAAAAACTGCTAGTCTCTGCAAACAGTGCCTGCAGACGCAAACTAAGGAGCAGTTTTCTACCTTGGCCCTGTGTGTAAAGGGCTGTTGGCCAACTATTGATCTTTCCTGTCACACTCAAGCCAGGTGATAACAAATCACTGTCAGCAACATCATCTTCGAATGTAGAGGACAGCAGTCTCTGTGCACATCTTGAGATCTTCTTCAATCAACTACTAGGAGGATGAATCAGAGAAGAGGATATTGATTTATTGATTAAATGCATGCTAGAAGAAATTGACAGAGCCCACACCTGCGCACTGGATCAACTAGCAGAGGGAATTGTTACTGTCGCTGCAGTGACTCCCCAAGTGACCCTGGGCAAGTCATTTAACCTCTTCACTTCAGGTTTCCTCATGTGGAAAAGGGGACTACCTTGTTCAGTGACCAACAAGGGGAGCATGTGAGGATTAGCTGTTTGCTAATAAAACCAAGGTGGAGGTCTGATCTTCATGAGGCTCCTCTACTGCACTCCCAGAGTGGGAAAATCGTCTCAGAAATCTTTCTGTCTATGCCAGTGTCAGGGAGACAAGGAACAGGGTGTGAAGCAGGCTCTGCCAAGAATATCACAATTAGGAAAAGGACAAAAGCAAACTGGAGATCAGGCCCTGTTGATGGGACATCTTTAAACAAGACAGGAGCACACTCACTTTCTCAGGAGAAAGATACTTGTAAAGGGTTTTGAATATGCTGAAAGGGAGAGCCACGAAAACTCACTGTATCGAAAGTGGTAAGGGAGTTTTAGTTGTAACATGCCTGTGCCTTTCAGACACATTTTACATGCGGCAAGTTCTGAGGTATACTAAAGACTCCCTGATCATCTCCTCACAGTATGTGGATGGAACACATTTGGTTGGCTTGAGACAAAATTACCTGGTCTAAGGAAAGATTGTTCTTACCTTCTGCATTTTCTTTTAAATATAGAAATATAGTAATTGGGAAATTTTAAGTTAACCTGCAGCAACAAAACCAAACCAAAACAATGTATTCAAACTCAGCTTCTGAAACCATGAAGAAACCAGTTACTATTCTCTTTGGAATCTAATGAAAAATAGACTAAGACACCAGGAGCACAGGTCCCTCAACCCAAGTCTTAACAAAGAAAGAATTCTTTTTTCAATGCAGTAAAAATCACACCAAGGCTTTATACTTATGAATGCTTTACTAATGATTATTAAGAAAATGTATAATGCAAAGGATATGGTTAACATATCATGATAGTTATCTTCATATATCAACTTGGCTAGGCCATGGTACCCAGATATTTGGTCAAACATTATTCTAGATGTTGCTATGAAGACTTTTTAAAAAAATGAGATTAACATTTCAAGAAGTAGACCTATTTACCCTCCAAAATGTGGGTGGGCCTCATCCAATCAGTTGAAGGTATTAATAGGAAAACACTGACTTCCTTGGAGGAAAAGAGAATTCTTCCAGCAGCCAGCCTTCAGACTTGAACGACAACTCTTGCCTGGGTCTCCAGCCTGCCAGCCTACCCCATAGATTTTGAACTTGCCTCTACAATTGTGGGAGCCAAGTCCTTAAATCTCTCTATACATTCTGTTGGTTATTTCTCTGGAGGAACCGTGACTAATACACATAATGTAGTAGGTTATTACTACTTCTCACCAGTATTTCTGGCTGTCTCTCCCCGGTCCATGAAAGGATTACACTTTCCTGAAAACTTAAAGTAAGCCCTGACTGTGTAACTTGCTTTGCCTAATAATAGGGTAGAAGTGACACTAACTTTAAACAACAGGTTTTAGGAGCCAGGGAGTGATTCTTTATGCTCCACCCCTGCGGCAGCAGGTGCTGAGTCCTCAGGTTGAGATGGAAACATAAGGTGCTGTCTCCCTCAGCCTGGGCCCCCAGGTGACTGCAATCAGCAGAGTCCCACCTATTTGCCCTGTGCACGTGGAGCATGAGCAAGATCATTAGTTGTTTCAAACCACTGAGATTTCAGGGTTGCGACCAACACACTACTGTGGGTGGGGTACAGGGAGCCCTGAAACCTAGCAACATCCACTCAACTGTACGTTTTACAAATTTTTAATTTTTTCATTTTTCCAAGTTTAAGAAAACATCTAGTTGATATAAACACTAGTGACTTGAAATACCACATGCACATGATAGTAACAAAAATGCCTCCCTAAAATGTGAACATTTCATAAATTGACCTCTCCTTTAATCCAAATTATTGATATAATATATTGCCAAACCCACCAGCATCCATTCCATTATAAAACTTGGAATAAATGAAGCCCATGTGAATTTGAACATTTGTGTAACCTAGGCATTGAAAACTAGTCTATCCCAACTGTTTCAGAGTTTTATATTTCATGAAGTTCCTAGAATATCCCTCTGCCTATCTGTTGTAACTCCCAAATTACTATTGAAGAAAATCCTTCACTGCTGCAGATCAATCAAAACAGGTCTTCATATAAAAAATATCCAACATGATAGTTCAGTTAAACCACACAAAAGCTGGCTTTTGCCAGGGAGAGGAAAAAGACAAAGTATAAAGACGGGAGGCTGAACTACAAGGGCCTGTGGGTAAATAGGGCATAGTTACGTTCAGATTTCAAAATTATCCAGTCCTGAGTTTATTTGGAATTTCAAGACACAAAAATACAGTTGAGATGCTCAAATCTATCTAAAACGTCCAGATTTTTAAAAGAATTCTAACAATTTTGGCCCAATTTTTTTTTTAAAAAAAAGGATGGAGAGCACCACTTTCCCTCATAAATACCCAAACCCACAAACTCAGTATGGAAGGTGTGAACAATGTTGTATTTCCTTTTTTACCTACCCCCCTCCCCATAAGGTATAGCACAGCGCCTGTCTACAGCTGTCATTCAATAAATGCTAGATTTCTGCCGCCACATTCTCAAATCCCCACCCCTTGGCCACCTCCTGTATCTTTTAAAAGAGAGACATAACAGGTATCAGAGAGGGCTGTCTCCACGGTCCTGTCACACACGGCACATACCTCTCTCACCGTCCACTCTTGCATTCTCACCCCCACTCTGGCTAACTGAACTTTAACAGTGAGTCTAAGTTAGTCGGTCAACAACAGATGGCTATAGTGCTGTGTACTGGTGGTACAACAGACAGCGGCGACTGGAATTAAGGTAGTTGCTGGATATTCAGACCCCAGAGAGGTCAGGACTAACCCTGCCACTCTTAGGTGGTGTCTATCTCCACAATGGTTGGGGGCAACCTTAGCAAAGACAGGCAGAGGCACGCCACTGAGCACACAACCTCCTGAAAGCAGGTCAATGGGGAGAAAAACCTGCAGTTTGTCTTCGTTTCACCAACAATTTACTTGGAGAAGAAAAATAACAGTTAATGCAGTTGGGCCATGGGGAATAGCTAGGCCACAGCCTGGGCTGGGATTTGCCTCCAAATACAAGAGCTAGTCAATACTCCGGAGGATCCTCTGCTCAGAGGACAAAGGTCAGTACAATAATGGGTGTGTCTGCCCAGAGTAAGGGATCTTTGGCTATACTGAGGTCACCTGTGTCAGTGATTATCAAAGACAATTTTTCCCCCTAGAGGTTGCTTCTATTGTTAGATTATTATAGCCTCCAGGGGTGATAAGCCTTACACACCACGTCCAATGCTGCTGCACTTTTAGACCTTAAGGAAACCCTGTAAGCATTTGTTACTATTATTAATTAAGCATAATTAAGCACTCCTGGCATGCATTCCATATTGCCTTGAGCAGAAAGCTTCAGATGTAAACGATCTTTCAATAACATTCCCTTCCTGAATGCTGAGATGAGAACATGAAAATCATACCACATGTCTGCCATCTGTATTTGTACTTGTCAACAGCTCTGTTTTGGGATAAACAGTTTTGAAATAAGAATCAATCCAACTTGTTGGAAGATTAGCCAAGGAATAGCTCAAAGACCAAATCAGAACGTGAAGTCAGATAGTCTGAAAATCAAGCACAATTTTGTTTCTCACTAAACATTCTGTTTTGTCACAGCCCAAGAGAAAGAGCGTGGCAGCCAGGGTTTGGGGGCACAGAGACAGGGAAAATGTATGTACTCAAGTCAAAAATTCTTCAACCTAGAACAAATGTCTTTGCTACAATACAGCTAGAAATCATTCACTGACCCCTAGGAGACTACAGAAAAGAAGAAGGTAGTTTTAGCATTCACACTTTGTTTCACGGTTCTACTATGTGAAGGTATACACAGGCGGCAACTTGCATGGGTCCAAGTGCATAATACAGTCCGTTATTACCATAAAAATGGCAGTATTTCCCAAAATCGATCTTGATTAAAAGTAGTTCCATGGTTGAAAACAGACTCCACTGTAGAGCTATTAAACTAGAGAGATGGCAAGGGGAAAATAAAGACTTTTATACCAAAAGCGAGGTCAGGGAAGAAGTAAGAAAAAATAGGATGCTACAGATTGTTGGGAGACTACAGTGGAATTGCTTTCAGAGGTGGCTGATGTAAGTGAACGAAGGGACACGATAACCTGCAGCCCCACATATTCTACAAAACAAATGAGAACATGTATCCTCCACTTGGAGGGCTATCCACTTTCTCCTTAAAGGAACTCATTTATAAAAGAGCAAATTGGTGATCTGTACTCACAGACTGGACCCTTTCCAAGCCCCTGTCAAGAAGTGATAAATTATTGAAGCATAGCATAAAGTGTTTTATTTTTGATGTGCACACGGTAAAACCCTGTGAAATGTTTCTGTTCACCTTTCCCAAGTTATTAATTAAAAAATAATTGTTTCCAATTACTCTCTGATCTTTAAAATAAACCAAGACAAAACACTACATACACCTCTCCAAAATCAGCACTACCCCTTCCCTCCCTCCTTGATCCTGCCCCTACATCCTTCAACCCAGCAGTTGTTTTAAATCACACCACCAGCTCCAGAAACAGGAATGCTATTTAGACTGGGGACGGAGAGAAGAGGAAGACCAATACAACATTCACACAACTGTCTGGTGTTCATTCAACCACAGTGCCCAGATATATTTGTTGTTCCTAGAGACAGCATAAAACTGTTTGGAGAATAAAGCAGGGTTGTGGAAAGCTCATTAATAAATTGTGAAAACCCTCTCAGCAGGAATCACATCATTGGAGGAGCTGACTTGTGCCAAGCAACATAAAGCCTGGTGTTCTGCTCCTGGACAACGTCACACGCAAACACAGCTGATTTTTGAGACAGGGGTCTCTAAAGCCACTTGCTAAGCAAGTTAGGAAAAATTATTTCCCAATCTCAGCTCCACAATTAGAACCTGAATTAGTTTATAAACTCCAGGCTTTGGTTTAATCCGACTGCAAGAGATGTACAGGAATGGTCTCTCCCAAACTGTGTTCATAAACTGAGAGAATAACATTGATGCCAATGTTCCTGAAAGGGAGCAGGTAAATCTAAAAAGTCTAATTGCATAGGAGTCGCAGGGGGACTGCTGACAGGAGTCTAACTGAAATCTTGCTAATCTTTAGGATTTCTCCAGCACCTCGATTCGAATCCCACTCATGTGAAAGTGCCCCTCTTAGCTCCCCAATTCTGTTTCTATTTAAGGTGACTAAATCAGTGGCTGAACATCTGACCTTGTGGCCCCTTTTTGTGCTTCAGACTGAAACTGGATGCCTTTGTAGAACATATTCACCCAAGGATTTTGTATGAACAGAGAAAGATGCAATAAAGGAGGATACCTCTAAAATGTTTTAATTACACACCCACACAATATATAAAATGTATGCATCATTTTAGCTGGATAAGTAAAGCAAGTCAAATGCAATGACACTCCTCGAAACTTAAGTTAAATAATCTTGTAGAAGAGATATATTTTGTTTTTTTTTTTAATTCTTTTAGCATTCTGTACACTGACAAGAGGTAAAAGAAAAATGACTGAAACTTAAATGTGGAAGAACACTTCACAATTAAATCCACAATTGTAAATATTTATCTTATTCACGTCAGTGAAAAATCACCAATTATTATAAAAACAGGACAAATTACATCACAAAAGAAGCAAAAATTAGAAAAAAAATTCATAAAAAAATATATCCAACTATGAAAAGTGTTGCTCTCTTGGTGTCTTCACATCCTTCTCTTCTGTGTACTGATGTACAACACTGAAAAGAAAAAAATACATAAATTGAAAAAATTAAAAACCCTGCTTGTAAGTACACATAGTAGCAAGTTTAAAAAGCAAACAGATTTTGGTTGGCTACACCTGACATTTAAAAGGAATTTTCGTATCATTCAATTAACTCTGGAAGTACTAGTTTTATGAATCTATATCCGGGTTTGATGTCTTATAAAACTGTGTCCTAATCTTATCCATGTGTCTGACTGACTCTGCAAAGTGTGACCATGAAGATATAATAAAATAGATGTGGAAATCTCTGGCATCTAAGAATGCTTTACAGTTGGAAGTGTAAGAATTATGCTTTTCCGGGTTGAACACAGTGGTTCAAGCCTGTAATCTCAGTACTTTGGGAGGCCAAAGCAGGTGGATCACTTGAGCTCAGAAGTTCAAGATCAGCATGGGCAACATGGTGAAATCTCCTCTCTACCAAAAATACAAAAAATTAGCCAGGCATGGTGGTACGCGCCTGAAGTCCCAGCTACGGGGGAGGCTGAGGTGAGAGGATCACTTAAGTCTGAGAGGCAGAGGCTGCAGTGAGCCAAGATGGCACCACTACCGTCCAGCCTGGGCGACAGAGCAAGACTTCATCGCAAAAAACAAACAAACAAACAAACAAAAAACAAGATGTTTTCAGAAAGTAAATCAGTCAATCTACCTACCAGGCTAGATCTCAAATTAAGAATAAACAGCATATTTTCATCTCTCTCTCCAACACAAACTCTAAACTTGCTGTTTACCTTCTTAACTGCAACAGGATAAACAAGAGCAGGATTTTTTGATTTTTTTTTTTCTTTTTAATGATATCAAAGTCCTTTTTCTGAGTTCCTGTTAAAGTCTCATACTTTGGTGTTACCCAATATTCTACTTAGCCAGTCCTCTCACGACTACCAGCCTGAACTCTTAGGATGTATGGTCTGTAGGAATGAAACAAAACGGAATGCCTGGGTCACTTTGGCCAAGTTTCACTAGTGCTGGCTCTCCCTTCCACCCTCCATGCCTACTAGGCTTCTGAGAGGTCTGCTCAAAGTAAACAGTAGGATGTCTTCATCAAAGTACAGCACAGCTCAATCAAGTAAGTCAAGATCCTCTTTAAAAGCCAATGGTGTGAACTTGGGAGTCTGAAGATGAATCTTGCCCGTACAACTACCCTCCACTCTGCCCCTCAAGTCCTAGGTGTAGTGTGCACGTTAAAGGATCCAACCCCTATCAACATGCACAGAAGCCAGCCTGTCAGTGACTGCTGCCATTAGCTGTCTTGAGGTGAGAAAAGATTGTATCATTTCTTAGGAAAAACAGGAAGTCAAATGAGGACATGAAAAATAGGATAAATAATTCTATAAGTAGGAATGACTAGAAAGCCAGGAGATCATATATATAAAAATATAATATGAAGAAATATGATACTGTAAGCACAGGGGACAGAATCTATTATAAAAGTCAGGAAGTTTAGTTTATAGCAAGGAGATTCAACTATTTAGGGAGCTGAAGACATCCAGAATTAAACAAATCAATAAAAAATCTTAACTCAAGAATCCCAGAGTTTCATTTGGGAGATTGAACCAAAAAGTGGGGTAATTCTCATACTTCTGATGTCTTTCCTTCCCCACCAAAAATACAAATATGACTTAATTATAATTTTCATGTTGAAACTAGGTACTTAAAAATAACTACAAAAATCACAGCAATTAGTTGTTTAAAAAACTGAGAAACTTTAAACTAGTTTTTCTACTTTGCCATTTTTGCCAAAGGAAAGGTACAAATCTCCATAGAAAGCATCTGAATGTTTAACAGAGAAGGGACAAATAGGATGAAATGCCAAATTATGCAAATCAAAGACATCAAGGAAATGGTGCCCATTCTTACAGCTCCAACTTCCAGGCTACGAGAAGCAGGAATATCTGCTGGGGAGACACAGTAATCTTTACTTGAGAGAGCAGGGTTCTGGGTCCAGAGACCAATGGTCCCCATTTCCTCATCACTAAAGGAAGGGAAGGGGAAAATTTTAGTTTCAAAATTCTATGAAGCATCTAAAAAATAACTGGTCAAACTGAAGATCTGACATATAAGCATTTTAAAATAAGCCTAAAACTGTACTTTTAAATTATCTAGAAAACTCTTTGGTGATCTGGATTATAAACAGAAAGGCTTATTTTGGACCCTGTACTGCAGGGTGAAGAAATGTTACCATTGTTTCCTCGGATAAATGCATCTCCATACTTATTCTTCAGTTGTCCATTTACATATTCCTCTGTCTGCTCCAGGGCTATATTCATGTAGCCATCCAGGCAAGCCAGGACCCCTGCAGACAGATTTAGTCAAAAAGAAGATACACAAGAAAAGTAAGAGTTGAAAATTACAGGGTATACCTTAGAGCTGACAATCTCTTTATTCATTAGCTCTCAGATGCTTAACATAAAAATTCACACAATAAATGAAACTCAGTAGCGTAAGCAAACAACAACTCTATGCCAATCTGAATGAAGGCTAGGAAGGCAGTCATGCACCCACTACTATCCGGTAAAACAACAAACCGTCACTTCCCTCATGATATGTATGAACATACAGCAAAAGAATATTCCAACAAAAATACCATTCTTTGAAAACTAAGCACAAGGTGGGCAATTATGCATGAACAAATGATCCCAGGTTCCAGAGGCATTTCCTACTTTAGCCACTAAGTGAAATATGGGCCTGCAGATTTATTTCATTCTTTCACAACATCTACTGCAGCAGATGAATGTACTCCAGGGTTAAGAGGAAGTCTCCACAATCTGTTAAAATAATAGAAGAGGAGACAGCAGGTGCTCCCGAAAGAACATCTTAAAGCTGTGACTCAGAGTGAAGAGCAGCTTGAGAATATAGGGCAACATATTGCATTATAACACATCTTGTTCTGTTTTGTTACAGCTATAATATTTTTCAATCAAAACTAATAGAGAAAATGGCCAAAAACATTCGAGGGAGCTTTCAAGGAAACAGTTTGAGCGAATCTTTAATTGTGTTAAGATGGTATAAATTTTGTAAAATTTGACATGATGATCTTTTTCAAAAGATGAAAATCTGTAAGCCTCTAACTCTGTCTCTAAGGTAAAGTGGTATTTTCCAGAGGAAAAAAAAAATTAAGTAAAAACAAATACTAGATTCAATTGAATTAGATGAGTCTATAGTTTCCCATCTGATGTCTTAACTTGATTAATATGCTCCTCACTCTCTGTCTCTGCCCCTATTATTCTCTAAACAAAAAAAGTTTCCTTTCAAAATTGTGTCTATAATGACAGCTTAAGCTGTAAACTCTCAAAGAACCAGAATGGACTGTGAATAATAACAATTATTTCTTAGCAAAAGAAAGCTTAAGATACAACTTTAGCTCATTTCCTGCTGTATTATTTTACCTATAAGCCACAATTATAAATAAGTAAGAAACTTCTGAGGCAAGACAGGAAAGTTTGAAAACTAATGAAAAAGATTTCAAAATGAAACGTCCAGGCTGGGCACAGTGGCTCAGGCCTATAATCCCAGTACTTTGAGAGGCAGAGGCAGGTGGATCACTTGAGGTCAGGAGTTCAAGAACAGCATGGCTAAAATGGTGAAACTCTGTCTCTACTAAAAATACAAAAATTAGCCAGAAGTGGTGGCAGGTGCCTGTAATTCCAGCTACTCAGGAGGCTGAGGCAGGAGAATTGTTTGAACCTGGGAGGCAGAGGTTGTAGTGCACCAAGACTGCGACACTGCACTCCAGCCTGGGTGACAGAGTGAGACAGCATCTCAAAAA